TATATATATATATATAAAATGTCTCTGTATATCATATCTCTGTAAGTATTGGATTTTTGCATCTCTAATTTTGTACCTAGTGGAATAAATGTAATTGGCGCTAGTCATGGATGTCAGGCTCTCTGCCGTGGTGTCCAAGAAGCTTTAGTAAATTGCTCCCTATGTGTTGCACATTACCTTGCAACTGTCTTTTTATTTTGGGAAACGTACGCAGCAGCTTTTCAATGGCCATCTCATTTCGAACATTTGCCATTTTGTACAGCTACTCAAACAGTAAGGAAATACAATGTGGAGATTTTCAATCAGCTATTGATGAGGCCAGTCGTTGCTTGTTAATTTATCATTCATAAAATGCTTCTTGTTGTTGCAGAAGATAACAGTTGCTGAATGCATTGAAACACAGAGCAAAGCAATGACTATGTTGAATATCGACCAACTCTCTTACTTACTCAAATTTGCACTCCAAAAGATTAAGCAGCCTGGGGTAAGTTATCAATCAAAATGTTTTCGCAACTGCAGGAATTATAAGCCTGAAATAACACATCCAAACTCTTTCCATTGCAATCATTTTCCCTTATGTCCTCATACCGAGCAGACAGAGCCCTTCCAGAAACCCGTGTCCTTGGAACAGCATCCTGACTATGCTGAGTACATTTTTCACCCCATGGACTTGTCTACTTTAGAGAAGGTAATATTTTATTGAATTTTCAGAGAAGTTACCAGCTTTCATAGGATATTGAAACATTCACCCCCCCACCCTCGTTTCAAAACAGAATATCAAGAAGAAAATGTATGGCTGCACTGAAGCCTTTCTGGCTGATATGAAGTGGATCTTACACAACTGCATCATTTATAATGGAGGTAGACCACTGACATGTTCATGCAAACTTGTTTGCAAAGGAAGAATGGAAAAAATCACACTGTGCTTGTTAATTTATTCCAGGAAATCACAAATTAACAGCAACTGCAAAAGTTATTGTCAAGATATGTGAGCACGAAGTAAATATGCTTTATTTCAATTTGAATAATCACTTGAGGCTTTGTAATTCATGGAAAAAAATGTCATGTTTGTATTTCTCTGTGTTTTGCTTTTTTAGATGAATGAGATTGAAGTATGCCCTGAGTGCTACTTGTCTTCGTGCCAAAAAAGGGACAACTGGTTCTGTGAGCCATGTGTACGTTATTGGCATGATTTCTCAAATAGGTGTGTGCTTAATCTTGAATTTGAATCATTTTATTTTAATTTTTTTTACACCAACAGAGTCAGCCTCATACACTGGTCTGGGCCAAGCTCAAAGGATTTCCCTTCTGGCCAGCAAAAGCTCTTCGTGAAAAAGACGGGCAGGTAGATGCACGGTTCTTTGGACAGCATGACAGGTGAGGTCAACTCCAGAGATTAGTATATTGCTTGAATTTCAGTACGGCTCAGCAAAACCTTGTCAAGTTGTGTCCACTTGTATCCTCATGAAATTTACCCGACTTTTCTGCGCAGAGCTTGGGTCCCCATCAATAACTGCTACCTCATGTCCAAAGAAATCCCTTTCTCTGTCAAGAAGACAAAGAGCATTTTCAACAGTGCCATGCAAGAAATGGAAGTTTATGTAGAAAACATTCGTAAGAAATTTGGAGTTTTTAACTATGCGCCATTTCGAACCCCTTACACGCCCAACAACCAGCTTCAAATGTTGCTGGATCCTTCCAACCCTAGTGCTGGTACAGTAAAAACAGAGAAACTGGATAAACTGCGCTTTAATTTTGATTTAACTGCATCTCCAAAGATGGTTCTTAGTAAGAGTTCCACACCCAGTGGTCTGAATCGGAGAGTCTCCATGACGGACATGCCTCGGTCCCCGATGAGTACAAACTCTTCAGTTCACACGGGCTCCGACGGAGAGCAGGAGATGGAAAAGGCTGGTAGAAATTCTGCCTTTCACTACAGCACTGGAGAGGAATCCATGGACTGCACAGGTAAGTCTCTTCTCTGGTTCCACATTACCCATTTTAATCAAATACACAGACAAGTGAAGTGAAATTGTTAACAGACATTTTGTTGTAATTTCAGCATCTCCTCTCTCAGGAAAGGTTGGTCCAGCAGGCAGCTTGACGGGCAGTCCCAAGCCACTCAACCCGAGCTTGGTGTCCAAGCAAGAGAGGCCCGCATCCACGGGTGGCATCCTCAATCTCAACCTCGGTCAGCACCACAAAATTGTCTCGTGATTACAAAGTCTCAAATGTCCTCAGTCCACCCAATTAGAGATTTTTCCATTTTCTGTTCAGATCGAGTGAAAGCTGAGATGGATCTGAGAGAGTTGAGCGAGAGTGTGCAGCAGCAGCAGCAACAGCAACAATCGGGGTCAGCTACCCTCCCCACGCCAAAGAGACCCATCAGGAGTCTCGACAAGACTATTGAAAGCTGCAAGGCTCAGCTTGGTAATTACAAACCCATGAGTATGACTTGCTTTATATACTTTTTAAATCAGTTTGTTCAAAGGAACAGCATGTAGTAATTTAGGGCAATATATGCAAGTCTCTGAATAAGTGATTTCACATCGCTGTTTTCGGGTCAAAACTATGTAAAATATTTTGCGCCTCTTTAAAATGTATTGTATCGTAGGGCTGCACAATATCTCCCAAAAATATCGTCATTGCGATAATGGCCTGTGTAAGATGCATATCACAAAGATGTGCAATGTGTTATACATGGAATTGTGTGCTTTGATTTTGACCAATCAAATGCAACCTTGAAAGCACATTTTCATGTTGTTGTTTTACATTTACGATTCTAGAAGTGTTTTCATCACTTTTTTTCATGTAATTATGACTTTATTGCTGCATTAGTGTAGGTTAATGGTTGCAGCGTATTGCAAGCATATTCGGATTATGTTGCCACCATTGGAACGGAACTTCGCTATCTGTCGATAACTAAATGTATGACTGTGATTTATTTTTTAAAATTTTTTTTTTGGCTTCTATAGTTACCAACTGTGCAACCATGGATTTTTTTTTTTGCTTCACCCCTTTCCTCTTTTGCAGGGATAGATGAAATTTCTGAAGACGTATATAAAGGTGTGGATCATAGTGACACAGAAGACTCTGATAAATCGGACTCTAGTGATAGCGAATATGCCAGTGACGAGGAACACAAGCCAAAGAGCTCTGGACATGATGAAAAGGTCAGAGTGGATCGAAAGCGGCCCAGAGCAAATGCAGAAGCAGAGAATAAGGATTCTATTGAAGGGATAGTGGAAAAATCCACCCCTGCAACCCAGATCAAAGAGAAGCAGAGTAGCAATGCCCAAGAAGAGGCCGTTCAAGAAAAGCCCAGAATGACCCAGTCTCAATCCCTCACTGACAAGCCAAAGACCTCAGAGGAGGGGAGAACATCTCATGCAGCATCAGCAGCAGAGCAAGACTCTGATTCTGAAAGAGAGCTGGTGATTGACCTCGGAGATGAACACGGAGCCCGTGACTCTAAGAGGTCAAGAAAAGACACGAGTTCCAAAACCTCCAAAGAGACCAATGTTGCCAAATTGGAGGGTAAGACGATTGCTATTGGAGAGGAAATTATCATTACATTTCACTCCTACACTGTCACGAAATTCTGTAAATTTACCATGAACTTACAACAGTATCTTACTCTTTGGTAGAATAATTGTCAAATACAGTCAAACCTCGGTTTTCGAACGTCTCTGTTCTCGATCAAATCGGTTTTCAACCAAAAATTTTGAGTTTTTGATGCCTCGGATGACGACCGAATTTCGGTTCTCGAACAAACTGAGTGCACTTCAATGCATCACTTGACTCCTCTCGCCTTCCTTACACGAGGAAGTGACGCTTCCTCGGGTAGACGAGGAAGTGACGCTTCCTCGTTTAGCGTTCCATTGTGAACAGACGTGTTCAATAAAGATTTTTTCTTTTTAAAAAAGAGCGTGGTTTCGGTTTTTGAACAAATCGGTTTTCGAACAATCTTCTGGAACGGATTATGGTCGAAAACCGAGGTATAACTGTACAGTTAAATATTTTTCTACAGCATGGAAATTACCAGTTAGTCAGTTAACAACAACAATATATAACTGTAATTTAACAATCCAAAACTATGGATTGCTATAAATTTATGGTGTGTTGAATGAGCGGATACATGAATATCCATTGTGAGCGCTTTCAGTGTGTGACAGAAAAGCGACACAGAGTTGAATCCGATGCATTATCATTAAATGTCAGATTTAATGTTCAAACTGGCGTGTACTGTAAAAGTACCATAATGCAGTTATCCTACTGTCATATACTGTAATCCAAAATACAATAGTATACAGTTAAAATAAATTACCACGCCACCCAATGGTAATATACTGTAATTCAAAATACAATACTATACTGTTATAATAAATTGCAGTAGGTGCATCATAAAAGAAAATAAAATACTGGCGTCCCCGCTGCCAGTAATTTGCTGTTGTTTTACAGATGAGTTCTTTCCAGTGTATCTCTCAATATTTCCCTTTTCTCAGGTAAAGTAACCAATTCCACTACAGCTGTTGCGCCAGCCGCTTCCACCTTGAAAAATGCCTTGCAGCCTTCTACAACTGCACCCAACCCCGTTCCCACTGCCGCATCTAGTCAGCCTGGTGCTGCCTCAACTCCCAGCAGCACTTCAAGCACACCCTCCACGTCTGTTGCATCAACCACGCCAGCAGTGAAGAAACAACGCCCCCTGCTGCCCAAAGAAACAGTGCAGGCTGTGCAGCGAGCAGTTGTTTGGAACCCCACCAAATTGCAGACGTCCTCTCAGAAGGCTCACGTGCAGAAGCAGCAACAGGCGGAGCAGTCAACGGCACAGTCACAAGGGCAGGTGCAGACACAAAGTCAGTCTCAGCAGAATTCTTCAAGTACCCGCTACCAGACCAGACAAGCAGCCAAAGGTGCTTATAAATGCACAAAACATTGATCTGAATCTTTTTGTGAACACATTTAACATATTTCTGTTACTATTCATCCCATCTAGTTCAATTGAAAGACTCTCCTCAGGGTGCTTCAGCATCAAGTAGCTCATCCTCCTACTTGTCAGGAGACTTGCCAATCCCGACTGCTTCTGCAGATGCAGCTGCAGATATAGCCAGATACACAAACAAAGTAAGTCCTTAATGCAGACTAACTGCAGTTCTATACTGCGAAAAGGTCTTAATGCCTGTAATTGGCCTATTTTGTTTGATTTATTTTGCACACATTTACTTCACATGTTTAAAATCATTGACAAGATCTGACCAAACCGTTCCAGATTATGGACTCAATCAAAGGAACAATGACTGAAATCTACAATGACCTTTCGAAAAGCACTTCAGGAAATACAATCGCAGAGGTGAATGTTTCTTTGATTGCCCTTGATCACACCTTACAAGAATTACTTATTAACTTGTTTTGTTGTTCCAAAGATTCGACGGCTGAGGATAGAGATTGAGAAACTTCAGTGGTTGCATCAACAAGAGTTGTCCGAGATGAAGCACAATCTGGGTATGTTTCTTGCTTCAGTGGTTGTACAACACTGTGCTGTTTAGCTATTGCATATAAATAACATTGCTAAACAAATTTTTACTGTATATTTTTCATAATCAGACATGCAAGTAAACTTTCCATCTCTAAGTAAAATTTGCTATTGACCAGTGTAATTTTGATTTTGTAATAGTTATGCTGACTAAATCTCCAAGTATGAAAGTATACAACGTAAGATTGCATATATGGGAATTTCGCATTGTTGTAAACCTCCTTTTGATTCCGAAAGAATTAAGATGTTTTCTGAGAGTACATATCAATTCTTTGTTGTCATGCAACCATCACATAGAATTGACGATGGCAGAGATGAGGCAGAGTCTGGAGCAGGAGAGAGAGAGGTTGGTAGCGGAGGTGAAAAAGCAGATGGAATTGGAAAAGCAGCAGGCTGTGGATGAGACAAAAAAAAAACAGTGGTGCGCCAACTGCAGGAAGGAAGCCATCTTCTACTGTTGTTGGAACACCAGTTACTGCGATTACCCCTGCCAGCAAGCCCACTGGCCGGAACACATGAAGTCTTGCACGCAGTCAGGTAATAAGACCATCACACCATTTCCATTCCTGTCAGGTGATTAACTTTCAGCAAAATAAAGTTCATCATCTTCATATATTGTCTGACTCAAAGCCCAAAACATATTTACAGTGTGGATCATTCTGTTGATACGTTGTGTTTTTCTTGATCCTTCAGCTTCAGCTTCGCAACAAGAACCAGAGGTTGAGCCCAACCCGGACACTTTGAGCAAATCGACAGGCAATTCCCCAGTCACACAAACTCTGAATGCCCCAGCAGGAGCGGCCGTACCCTCCTCCTCATCAACCATATCCGACAAAAGCAGCTCTCCCACATATATCGACAAGAGCAAGGACAGTGTTGGGCTTACTGTGACATAACTGTTACTCCACATCGTGGCATGTATTCCAAGGCTGCTGTGGACCTTGATGTGTCACATTTGGAGCTTTAGTGCCTGCTCAGTGACCCTTCACTTTCGGTTTCCATTCCCAAATGCATGGCGAACATTTTTGTTAATTTCGATGTTCTTTCGGCTTCATCTTGTGAACGTATTTGTTAATAACAAATCAAATGTGATTCTCTGTTTTCATACTGTTGTTTTGTTATCACTATGTTGCCACTTAATTTTTCGTCTGAACAAGATTGTAACTAACTGCAGTATCTTTGTTACACTAAAAAGGTTCATTGCTGCTCACAAATGCTTAAAGGCTGTATTTTTTTTTTTTAATCACCACACCATGTGAGATGTTGAAACAGCCTTGAATAACTGATTCTCAATTATCTTGGTGGCATCAGAAGTTTTCTGAGTTTTGCATCATTGCATTTACGTTTCATGTCGGTGGTTATGTTTTTCATCCCACATTGTATAGGTCTAAGAAAAAAAAACTGTGTGATTTATGAAAAAGATTTAAAACATTGTAAGTGTAAAAAGTTTTTGTAAGAAGATACATGAACAATATTTATTATGTTTTATAGTATGTTTTGATGCAATCACATTTTTATGTGTCTAAAATTTATTTGACCGAAAATTACTCATGAATGTCAGTACTGGGTGAAGTCTGTTAAACTGTTTTTCCAAAGTTAAAGTAAATTCCGGTCAGACTGTTTGAAATTGTGTATACTTGAATCATTTTGGCTGGTTATGATTACATGAGCATGTCTAATTTGAGTTGGTGTCTCGTTATTGTTTACATATTGTAAATACAGTAAGATGAGTCGTGAAGAAAATAAACATGTTCTCGATATTTTCGCTACTGATTGGTTTGCTTGGTGTTAAAACAATTTTTATCACATCCATTTTTCTTGTCAAACCAAAAGCGACAGCCATGCTTCCACACGTGACCGCAATGCACGGGCATAGTAAACGGAAAAGGAAATTACGTTGCGAGAACTCGCAGCGTCGTATCGCGATGTCTTGAAAGTAGAGCAAAGCAGAAAATGGATCGTTGTGCTAACAAGCTAACAGGACATTTCCAGTGTTAGTTGGATAGTAATCCACTTTTGTCGGAGGTATGCGTTCAGATTTCCTCGTGGCGGCCACGCAAAACAACACACAGCCGTTAAAGGTTAGATTTGTCTCAGTACATTAATAGATCGTCGCAGTTAGACTAGCTCCCAGCAGTTAGCCAAACTAGCTGTTCTATAATGTCGTCTGCTTTACTCGTCTGCTCAACTGCTCTGTTTTTTTTTTGTGGTCAAGTGTTTGTGGTCAAGAACGCTCCCGTTCCTTTTAAATGTCTGGAATTTGATGAGGAAAATGACATGATAGTGCATTGTATTTATCGTTTGGTTAATCGGATGTCTTGACGTTTCAGATTACAATGATTACAGTTAACAAAGATTTGCGCAATGTATGCCAGGCCCTTGTCGTCACCCTTTCAAAATCAACAAATATCTACCAGCCTACGAGCCAACCAGGTGAACCCACAATCCAGAGCACACCAAAGTTTTATTCTATCTATATATGTGAAATATGGGTCCCCAGTATACAGCAACTGCTGGGTCCGACTTGCATATGTAGAGTAGTTTTCAGAATGAGCATTATAACCTTACTCGTCCGTTTTGAATACACTTTTTGCACTATTTTGTCTTATATGTTTTATGTATGATGTATTTTCACATTTAAAATGGGCTCTTACTAGATTTCGCTTTATTTAGGACAATTTTAATTATATTCTGGCGTAATTTCATTTTATTTTTATGGTACACACATCTGACTTTTTTCATAATTTCAAATTATCTTGTGAATGTGAATATATTCAGAGTGGAGTAAACCTGATTACCCATCCGGCACTTTCAAAGGTGCAAAATTGTATTTTGGATAGACCATGAAAATGTGTTTATTTTATGCATTTCTGGTATTTGACATCTTAGAACATGCAACTGTACAGTACATAATAACGGAGGAGCTGTTTAAGACACCCAAATAACATCATACAAGCACGCCATCAAGTATGATCAACAAACTATGTATAAATATATACTGTACACGACATACATTAGGTATGTGTGCAACATTTCAAAAATTAACTGTTTTACACGAAACCAGAGTTTTCAGACAAAGCTTTTACGGTCCTTTATATGTCATCCCGTGACAAGCATTAAGAAAGTGACAACTGTTTAAAGCAATGAAAATGCACCAATTTATGGCCAGCATCTTAATTCAAATTCAATTGGGGTAGAAGAATTCGGTGTGACCTTTTTTATACCTGTAGAATCAGAATTTCAGATTTCCATAGCTTTTGTAATTTTTATCCTGTTTTCAAAAGACTGCCATCATTGGAAATCTCGCTAAACACAGAAGCAGAAAACATAACGATGCTGGTGATTATTTCTAATTAGCTCATTAAGTAATTCCAATCACTATGGAAAACTGTAGGTAAATATCAGCAGAACAATAATAATTAAAAAAAACCTACAATGAATATTAGATTGAAATTTTCAGCAGAAAATATCTGAAAGACCCCTTTTTGCAAAGTAATATAATGTATAAATAAGATAAAATAACCTTTATTTGTCCCACACTGGGGAAATTTGCAGTCTACAGCAGCAAAATTGGGAGGGAAGGGAAAAAAAAGTGTTTCATTGCACAAAATGTACGGTAATATGAATCTGTAGTAAAATACAGCAACTAAGACAAAAACAATGACTATTATTGCTCTATTTTTATAATCGATGACATATGTGGAAGTAAAAAAATTAAGAATGGAGAATGAAAATAATACTCCATTAGTCGCTAATATACATTTTAAGGAACAGATGTATCACAGTTGGGACACCTTTGTAGTTTATAAAACTTGTGAAGTTAGTGTTGGAAGCAACTTAAATTATGAGCCATCATGGTGGGTTAGAGTAAGATTACAAGAGAACAGGGGGTTTGTCAACTACAAAATGTTAACCAAGCCTGATACCCTGTGTACTTGATCTTTCGAGAAATTTCGAAGTTGTGTTTAAAACTATGACACCTGTTCCACATCATCATGACTGGATTATTGTTGAAAATTGCAGCTGCAGTGGTTCCACCGGCACTCAAAATGTGTGATCATGACTGTGGCGTGTTGAGTGACCATTTTTTGAGTCATTCAGCCACGGATACTCGCATACCTACATACATGCCACACAAGTTGCTAGAGCCAAGTGGCAGAAGGGCTGTCGAGGTTGCAAGTCGCAAGATCCAATGAGAACCCAGTTACAAAATGAAATCTGGGCAATCCGGTTCAGCCTGCCAGACGCAAGGCTATCGAAGAGGGCCTAACTTCCCCACCACACAAAGCACACACTAGCCTTCACCTCCATGCAGGCATCCGCTGTCATCAGTAATTGATAAGGTGACTGGGCTAAGCTCATATTTGAAGAGAGAAAAGAGCTCCATTTTTTCCGGGCCTCCTAACACCAACAGTCAAATAATGACTGAAGGTCACAAATAACTTTTCTACTGACCTTCATTCCCTTTTTCCAGAACTTCATAGTCACTGCCTTGTTCAAGATGGGTGCACTGAATGCCTTTTTTGGACTCATGTAGTCTTGGACTGTAGCTGGGCAGGTATGAATTGTTTTACTTGCAGTTGCACTTGCATCACTATGTACCTACCTGAAAGCATTTGTAACACTTGGAGTTATGCTGATCATCAGCTACAGGTAGGTCCATGATGCCATTCAGCTGGAGTTTCACAACTTACCGCTCAACCATCCTGTCGTTCTATACATTTAGGCAAACTCACACCTTTGAAGGATGGAAGGCCGAGCAAAGTGTAACATTTTTGAACTGGATTCCTTCTGTTAGAATTTTCAGACTTTTTTTTCACAAATAAGAGACCACAGAACAAACAGTGTTTTGAGTGCCCAATGTCAGATAGTTGAGGATGAGTGACTTGCTTTCTCGATTGACTTTGTCATGAGTCTGACTTGTGCTTGCTCACATTTCGAGAGCAAGAAAATCAAATGTCTCAGCGCGCTCAAAGGGGGACTCGGCAAAAAAACAAACCAAAAAAAAACACGAGGAGTCACTCATTTGTAGCACGCTTGCAGATGCTCATTGCGGGCGCACTCCTGCAGCCTCGCAAAAAAATAAAGTTTCAACCTGCACATTTTGTGTTACAGGAACACACCCTCACAAATAAGATGTTTTCTGAGGTAACAAGGTATTGGGTCCATGTGAGCCAGCGATGAGTGCAGGTTTCTGCCTTGAAAACTTGCTTATGGTCACTCTGTGTCTGTGACAGGTCACCTGAATCAAGTTCGCTGACACCAGCGCGACTGGGCCAGGACAAAATTCATGAACAAACATGATGACATCAACACATTCTCGCTTTTTAAAAATATGTAATGTAAATTATTGTGAGTTTTATCCACTTAAATTAATCAATATCATTGGTCTTTTTATCGTGCTGAATTTTTTTTTTTCACCAGTTAGGTTGAATCCTTTTACAAGGAATGACTTGGACAAGATATAAAGCCCAGAAAATAAATGTCAATAATGTTAAATATTCAGTTTAATTTTACACTGCAAAGAAAGTAACTACACAGAAGTATCATTTTCGTGACTCATACAGTATAAAGATGTGAAATATGAAATCATCAAAATTTACCATGTTATATCATGAAAATACAGGTCCAATGCTAGTTCTGGCAAGACAAGAATACAATATAGTACATCTTTATTGATACAACGCTTTCACTTTTCGCTACAGCTGTAACAAAGCACTTTTACAGAATATTTAGGATAAAATAATAATCGAACAGCACACGGAACAACAAATCTACCTGGGCCGCCACTCAAAAAGGCTTAACGTAGGACCCTGCAGTGTGCCCATTAGTGCATGACAAATGTTTGACACCTCGTAAGTTTCAGTTTTTTGATTAGTTGTGGTTCTGTGGGATAGTTTCTTGTCCAGTGGACCCTTGCTATACATGGGGGATTGGGACATAGGGACTGGGCCAGCCTGCAAGTCATGAAAATCTGCATAGAATTGACAGCAAATATTAAATGCATTACAAAAGTACCCCCCCCACAAAAAAAAAAAATATATATATATATATATATATATATATATAAAATGCAAACACAGGTTTTTGCGATTGGCGGATTTCATCTCGACAAGTAGCATTCTGCCAGAAAACAATTTTTGTAGTTGTCTCAAAGAAGTTAACTTTTCAGCGATCGGTATTTAACGTTGTTAGCCATTGTAGCATTCTACAAAGTTTAAACATTAACAGTTTGGATAAATAAAAAGAAAAGTGTGCTTCAATCATCATTCAATTAACCACAAAAAATAATTACAAACAGTTCCTAAATATTAAATGTGATTGTATTGTACTGTACTTAAGTTAAATACAACTGAACTGTACTTATGACCCCCCCCCCCC